AGTTGCTCATATTTAATAAGCTTCTGTCCAGACATAAACCCTTGTTATTTTAAAGCTTATACTTTATATTAAAAAATCGTTGTAAAAAACACAGCTCACTGTGATCATACTAGCAGCAGGACCTGCCACACATTTGCCCAGTTTGTAATAATGTAGCAAGCTTATAAAAAACATTCATATGACATACCAACGCTGTTAAACAGAATCCAGCCTAATAAAAATATTTTACATAAACAGAGCTCAGACGTCTCAGTGAAACAGCTGCTATATCTATGGGAAATCTGAAAGGTAACACTTTGGTTGTATGAAGCGAGGTAAATGAAAAGCACAACATGCTGATGCACACAGGAATGGAAAACCACTTATAAACAAAAAACAGTCCATAAAACACAACCAGAAATCGCATGTATATTTCAAATACTAGATTAAGACATTAGTGCTAGTTTTTTTCCCCACTTTTCTGGGAAGCTTTTCTCCCAGGAGTGAAAAACCTGCCCGTGAAGAAACATCCAAATTTTTAAAGCAACCAGTAAATACTGGCATCTCCTTTCCATGCTATTATTTTGGTATAACTGCCAGAACTGGTGCCAGATGTGTAAGACCAGAACACAGCATTTCATACTTTGATCAGCCTTGGAGGATGCTGCTCCTCAGCCCTCTGAAAGCACCCCAGATCCAGAGAAAGGCATTTTCTGCAGCTCTGTTCCTGGTGCCACTACATGTGCTCTATCTGCTCATAGGCACTGAACTGTGAGGAAACCAAGAGATTAGAACCTTGTGCTTTGTGTGTAAATATGATCCTTTGTGCTCAAAGGATGCCCATGTTATTTGGTGGACACTGGTTTCCAAAATTACCACTGACTGCAAGAAAGGAACCGCTGTTACAGTGCTGTAAATGTTTCAGACACGCATTAGATGACACTGCTTTCCCCCCTGCTCTCCCCTTTGATATAAACCAAAACCGGATATTCACACCTGAACATAAGGAGACATGGCATTCAACAGCACTGCATTAAGGTTATAACAGTTAAACTAACCATTTAAAAATTTACTTAGCTCTTAAACTGGTTGATGAGGCTCTGATCAGAGGTGCTCTCAAGAACACGTGTGCTGTAACTTTCTCTCCAACTGCTGTGGTGGTCACATCTTTCAGAAAAATATGAACAGTGGTTTCATGAAATACGTTCATGAAATATGTTTAGTAGATACATCTAAATTTGATCAGCATTCAACTCTCAAAAATTTATACCCTCTTTGCTATAAATATTATTTATTTAATAAATCATCCTAGGAGCACTTTTCAATTTTTATTGGTGACTGTCTTTGGTGCAGTCTTATTTCTGAACTTTCAAGTGCACATAATACAGAAATGTGATTGTGTGCTCCCCCAATTCTAGTTTCTAATAAAAACAGGATTTATCCATCAGGAATTTTAAGTGAAATTTTCATACAGTTTGTGCAATATTACATATTATGAAAAAATAATTTTGTTCAAATTAGTGTCAAAAAAAGGTTTTTTGCTGATGCTGATATGAAAGCCATTAAAAAAAAAATGCAGTTATTAACTCTAAAAGGATTTAAAGGCAAAATCTACTAATACATAAAGAACAAATATTCATGGCCAGTATTGCATGTATTAACTGACAGGCACAGTCCAAATTTCTCATTCCCTACTGCTCTTAAATATTTTCCAAGTCTCTAGTTCTTACTGTGCTCTGCAGCTGATATTTCTTACACACAGTGTTCCACACCATGTAAATGTGGTATCTACCGGCAAATCAACATAACTAGAGCTGTGGGGTACAGAGAGCTAGTAAAACTATTGCTAGTAATTCTATGCAATCATAGAATTCTTTGGGTTGGAGGGGACTTTAAAGATCATCTAGTTTCATGATTTTAGTTTACAGGGTTTTGTAGTAACCTGGAACATTAAAAAAAAAAAGTTCAAGAAAAGTCAGAGTTAAGTTCTGTTATTTAATAAGTAGTTGCAGAATTAAGACCAGTTTAAGAACTTCAGACATAATATTAGGAGTGCCCTAAAGCATAGCTTCGGGTTGTACAAATCCCAAGTGAAAAAGCATTTTCATTCATTTCAAATTTGTGTGGCTTTAAAAGAGACCAACTAAGTTTATGAGACTTCAGGGAGGTATTTTGCCCCCAGCCTTCAGGGCAATACTTCTCTTGGAAGGAAATGTCCCTTGCAGCAAACCCAGTCCCGATGTGAATTTCCCTTCCAGAATGCATGAGCTCCCACTGGCCATGGGAGATGGCTCTCTGATTCAGATACCCTCCTGGAGCCAAGCCCTGGGTTACGTCCTGAAGCACAGAGCAGGTACTTCTGTAGAGGCAGAGCCACTCTGGACACAAACTAACGTGCTGGCATTAACAAACCATATCACAACGTACCTGTTATATCACACAGCCCTCAGACTGATTCTGCCACCACAATCCTCCTTCTGGTACATGATGTCTTTACTAAGGCAGCCTGCTCAGTTCCTCTTAGTTTTTTCCACTGGTCAGCAAGCCTGCCAGATGCATACTTTCTGGTGTATATGGCAAGGGAAAAATGGGATATAAAGATAATATATTAACCAGGGACACACATTATAATTTTTTAGGGGAGCAGCTGAAAACAGATTATTTTATAAATGTTGGGCATTTATAATCCACGGTGTTTCCTATGGTTAATGGAGTCCTGACACCTGGATTCCGAACACCATGTTCATGAAAAC